GATAAAGCGCAATGGCCTCACCGAGTGCGGCAACTCCGTCAAGTAGTGCCTGTCTCTTATACACATCTAGATAGACCAATGATAAAGCTCTTCTTCTTCGCCAACCACCCTCCTCCTCCTTATCTCCTCCCCTCTTATTCAAACAAGAAATAACAATAATAATGTTGAATGGCTGTCCATGGACTTCATGGATACTCTGGTCACCAACAAGAGTGGGATGCGACACATCTTCGTCATCGTGGATATATGCTAGATTAGTAGCAATGCGGGAGGCTGCGAAAACCAAGTATGTAATCAGGTTGTTTAAAGAAAATTGGGTCAGGGATTTTGGCTTGCCCAAATCAATAGTGAGTGACAGGGATGTCCGATTCACTAGCGAGTTGTGGAAGGCCACAGCTGCGGAGCAGGGTACTCAGTTGCAAACGACTTCTGGGAATCACCCAGAGGCCAAAGGCCAGGCCGAACAACTGAACCGCGCTGTACAACACCTGTTGAGGCATTATATCAAGCCAAACCAGGTGGACTGGGATGAGAAGCTTGCTCTCATCGCCAGCCTGTACAACAATGTTGTACACAGCGCTTTCGGGGTGAGCCCAAACAGCCTACTGTTGACTTTCAAGCCTAGACTGCCCTTAGACTTCCTCCTTCCTAGGAATCAGTCAACTGCCGCACCAGGTACCTTAGAATTCGCAGATGCAGCAGGCGGTAGAACAGATGCAGAAGGCACAAGCGGCAATGATAGAATCCGAGAATAAACACCGCCGCCCTTCTACGTTTCACGTTGGGGATAGAGGCTAGGTTAAATCTTCGGAACTGGGACAAGAATACGGGATCTCCCGTAAACTTATGCCTCAGTACTTTGGGACTTGGGAAGTCCTAGACATCGTTGGGACTGATCCGGATGGCCCATCTTATGTTGTCCGGATCCCTGGTCATCTCCGTACTTACCCTGTTTTTCACGCCTCCAAACTTGCACCTTTTAAGGAAACAGATCAGTTTCCATCTCGTCGTTCAATGCTGCCCCCAACCATGGATGGAGAGGTCGACATCGACGATATTGTTGATCACCAGGAGCTGCTAGTTCCAAGAACAACAAGCAGGGGACGTCCTCCGAAACCGAAGCTGCAATACCTCGTTCGGTTCCGACATCATACTGATTCGAAGGAGGACCGCTGGTTCACCAGGGAGGAACTCGTGCAGACCGCTCCGCAAGTTGTAGCCCATTACGAGAAATCTCTGTAGAAAGGAAAGCGCCTGATGGTCGAAGATTGAGCTTCTCAGAGGACTATTGAAGCTAAGGAGGAGGGAATGTGAAGCCACTGCCTCTATGAGCCCCATTCGGCCCCTTTTTGGGAGCCTGTCGGCCGCCCTAAGTGAAGGCAGGCTCGACGAGGCCCCT